ATTTGACTTCTGTTGTGTGTCCCCATAGAGGTGAACCAAGGGCACTAGTGAGTCATGTGGGCCGCTGCGTCAAGCTCTTCTTTGGAAAGAGGTGACACCTACACAGTCAAGTCTCTGCCCAGATGTGACCATGGTATTTTCCATTCCCTGGAGCCATTGGATTCAGTCCCTGAAGCATCTGCTGGAGTGTCACTGAAGCACTAGCAATGGCTCAGCTGCTCTCGCCTGGATGACCTGAAGGATGTGAGTGTGCGTGCGTGCGTGCGTGCGTGCGTGCGTGCGTGCGTGCGTGCGTGTGTGTGTGTGTGTGTGTGTGTGTGTGTGAGAGAGAGAGAGAGAGAGAGAGAGAGAGAGAGAGAGATCCCTGTCCCCGAAGCTGCTTCCTTTCCAAGGGGACCTGTGTGAGTTCACAGCTAGAGTCATTAAAGGTACCCCCCCACAGTCTGTGCTCTATGACTGTGCGGATCTGATAGAACAGGGCCAACACAGGGAGAGGGGTCTTTGTTTTTGCCCATGTTGCCCTGGTAAAGACCTGGAAGGTCAAGGGAAGCATTTGGCTCTTGGGATGAGGGCTCCAGGCTCTCTGAGTCACAGATGTGCTGGGAAAAGGGGGCTGCTGGGTGGTCCTTTGGTCACATTTATTTTCTGGTTTCTTCTTGTGAGTGTGTCTTTCCTTACTCCCTCCTCAGTCCTGCTGTCCATCAAGAGGTCCAGTTTCTACCGAAAATGGAACCCACAGAGGTGGCCACCATAGATCCCCTGTGAGCTTTTTCTCTGAAGGGCTAAGACAGCAGCTGGGGACTGGGACTGTGCTGATGTTTGTGGGCTGTCACCTCTTGACCTGAGCAGTTCCCCCACCTCCTGACCATCAGGCTCTGCTTGAGCATTTGCTGAGGGCCAGACTGTGGCCCCGCCCACTTGTGCTCCTACCCACCATTAATCTTAGGGCAGATTTCCATGAGATTCTAGGAAAGGAAAAGTTAAACTAGAAACAGGAGATAGGTTGATGTTTGCCTGGAACTGTGGAGAGGAGATTTTTGAGGTGATAGGAACATTCTAGATCTTGATTGTCATAGTGGTTACATGGGCGTCTACCTTCCCTTTCTGTGAGTTGTGTTGTTGCTGTTTTATTTTTGAGACAGAGCCTTTCTTAGTCTATATCTCAGGCAGCCTGGGACACTATGTTCTCTATGTTGAGTTGGCTGTTCTCCAACTCAAAATCTTCCTGCTTCTACCTCCTTCATCCTGGTATTACAGTCACATGCCCCACTGCACCTGGCTTATGCTTCTTCTTGGTGCATCATTAATTAAGAACAAACCTTTGGGGGTACAGCTCAGTTGGTAGGGTATTTGACTACACCGTCTGCAGTGCTGACTTCAATCCCTACAGCCACATACTACTCAGAGCATAATTCCTCATCTTGGACGCAGAGGCGGGAGAGCCATACATTCAAGGTCATTCTTAGCTACATAATTAGTTCAAAGCCAGTATGGGCTACATGAGACCTTCTATAAAAAAGAAAGTCTTAGAACATATTAGTAACAATAGCTGCACCTGGACAGTGGTCAGACAGACATGAGGTGCTGATTCTGAGTCAGGCAGACTCATGGAGGCCCAACGTGAAGCAGCACTTGTAGGAAGGTTCACAGTAGAGCTGGCAGTTCCCTGGGGCTGGGCTCTGTGCAAAGAGGACTCTTCCTTCCTAGGTTGCAGACCCTTGGCTGCTGGTTGCCTTAGATGCTTCTCTTTCATTGAAAACCTATAGGTTGGCAGCTTGCAAAGATAGGATAGTTACCAGGGAAACTGAGGCCCCGATAAGCTGTGAGGAAGAAAAATAGAAGGTGAAATCTGGGCTGAAATCTGATCCTCTTTTTACCCAAATTTCTGACATTTTCTTCAGCGATAGACTTCTTGTGTTAATGCTGAATTAAAAAAATAATTTATTTAAATTCATTTTATGTGTATTAGTGTGAAAATGTCCAATCCCCTGATACTGGAGTTACAAACAGTTGTGAGCTACCATGTGGGTGCTGAGACTTGAACCTGGGTCCTCTGGAAGAGCAGTCAGTGCTCTTAACGGCTGAACCATCTCTCCAGCCCCATTGGTGGTTTTTAAACACTGAATTAAAATATGACAAATCTTGGTTACTGTACAGCCTTTTTATACTGTACAGCCTGGGTGATGACCTCCCTGGCTCATGCTCATCCAGCCCTGAGGGCAACGCAGGAAGAAGAAAGCAGTCTTTAATTTTCAAACGCAGACAGCAGCTGTATCAACCTGCTGAGGCCTGGGGCTAGGGTGAAAGGGCTGGCATCATAGCCAGGGTTAGTGGAAGAGAAAACATCTGCCCTCCTCTGGATCTGGGCATAGAGTAATCGGGAGGGAGGTTCCCTGGGCTTCAGGGGGAGCCCAGTGACCCACTCCCTTAGGGTGGGCTTGGTGTCTCCTCTCTGTCCTGCTTGGCCTCAGGCCTGGAAGGAATCCCATTGTGTTGAATGGCAGAGGTCAAAATTCAGGTGAAAAGAGGAGAGAGTACTACTCAGGGTTCCCAAGCACTGGAGATTCCCAAGAGGGTGACAAGGTTAAGAGCAGAGTGGCAAAGAATGCTGTGTCCCAGACTACAACACTGGATGGAGCCTGAGGGTCAGTGTCCCACTGTGATGGGACCTCTATACGGGCCACACAGCTTGGGGTTAGCAAGGACTGTGGGGCAGGAGACCAAGGGAAAGCTGACTCTGCTTCACAGCTGTGCTCGTGGGCCCTATGTGTCAGCGCTGATTTCCAGAAGGTACACCTGTAGGTTTCCAAATTGCCGTTGCCTTCAGTTGCTCCCCTGCCTTGCTCAGAACACTGAGCTCTTTCCAGAGACTGGGGAGACTTGGATTGGAAAAGGCAAGTGGTCTGCCTGGAGGACCGAGTGGAGACCTCCAGGCCTGGCCTCTGGATACCAAGGCTCAAGTGTAGCCTTGTAGTTCACTGGTGCCCAGAGGGAGCCTCCTTAGGAGACTGGAGAAGGAGGATCCAGGATTCAACACCAGCCTGTGCCCAGACCCAGATAACCAGAGCATGGATAGTAAGAGGGAGTGGACCAAGGCTAAATCCTGCTGTCTTGGAGAGCAGCCAGTGAAGTAGCCCACTCAAGTCAGAGACTCCTTGGCTCTGCCTGGGCCTTCTAGGAGTTTACCCATGAGCCTCTGTGTCTTAGATTTGCCTGAACATCCTAAGTGGAGCAGTTTCCACACCCACTCATGTAAACAAGGGCAGGAGCCAGCCTCAGACTTCACCCCAGCGGCCATCCCTGATCACTGATCCTAATGTCGGGGCACCCTCAGCCTTCTCCATCCCTTCCTGCCTTCCTTTCCTATGACTTCCCGCTGCCCGCTGCCCGTTGTTTGATTGGTTTGCTGAGTTTTGTCAGCCTCCCCTCAGTCAGTCCTGGTACCAAAGTCCAGGGATCTAAGCCTGTTGGGCTCCTAGGACTTCATGTAAACCAAGAATTCATAAAAGAGGCAAAAATAAAAACAAAGAGAGTTTTATTCAGGTGAAGAATCATTGCATGGGGGAACATGGACCAGTTGGGGAATCCATGGAGCTGCTTAGAGTTGGGGCAAGACTGGAGCTTTGTCACAAAAGGAGCGTTCCTGGCGGAGTTGAGTGGGACGGGGGCAGATTTGGTGGTTGGAAACTGGAGCAGACTAGAGTGGTCACAATTTTTCTTTTTTGTTTTGTTTTTTGTTTTGTTTTTTGTTTGTTTGTTTGTTTGTTTGTTTTTACAAGACAGGGTTTCTCTGTATTGTTTTGGAGGCTGTCGGTCCAGCCCGGCCTCGAACTCATAGAGATCCACCTGCCTCTGCCTCCCGAGTGCTGGGATTAAAGGCGTGCGCCACCACCGCCCGGCTCACAATTTTTAATTTTCATTCTCGAGGGACCATGTTGAGACTGGTCAATCTAGTATTTCTCAGCCCTTGCCTTGTATTGTTAGATTTCAGAAATCAGTTCCCTCTATTAGATTCAGTTGCTGCTCTGGTGTCTCTGTGGTAATTTGCTGGCAAAAAAAAATCCCCAAAGTGTAGGAAAGGATTTTGGATTAGTTTTGACCATTCTGCAGCCATATTGATTTTTCACGAAGTCGTTGGAGCGGGGCCAGGCGTGTCGTGGGCACTCTAAATATTCGTTGTTGCACGAATGAATGATGGGTGCCTGAAGCTTGCCATGGGTGCTGGCATCTCGCTGCTGCTGCTACTGCAGCTGTTTGCTACCTGTGAGCTCAGCAGAGTCCCTAAGCATCCCGACCTTTCCATCCGTAGAATAAGGTGGAAGGAACTGTCAGAACATCTCTGAGCTCTCTAGATGCTCAGGATCTAGAACATTCTTCCCAAAGCCCAGCTAACACCTCTTGCCCCACAATTCTCAGTAGAGCTTTGCTAGGATCAGGACACGTGTCTCTTCCTGTGCCTTTGGCCTCTGAGGATCAGAGCCGAGCACAGGGCAGGAGGCGATGAGTCAGCTCACTATTCCCTGGACTGGTTTCCATTCACATGCCTACATGTTTTATACTAATTGACTTTGGTATAGTTTGTAATTTTTATTGTTGACAATGGACGTAATTCATTATGTGAATAATTCAAAACCACCCGGTTTCAGTTTTTTTGGTTAAGTGTTTTCATAAAACTAAACAAAAATCGGAGAAATATAGAAGTCCATCTCGTGTGGCCAGGTTTGGGATTTGAACACAGGGGCACTTGGAAATGAACACACTGTAGGGACAGGGATGTCCCTGGTGGCCTCAGGTGCACAGATTTTGAGGGCTCTTGGAGGAGCAGTGAAGGGGACCCCACACACAGAGGCTCCACAGAAATTCAGGAGGCAGTTTCAAGAGCCCAGGTATTAGCTGAGTAACTGGGATGGCTTGGGATGGGGCTGAAGGACAGGTCTGGCAAGTTCTAGGTTGTTTATACCTGAGATTACCTCACACCTCTGACCAGTTTCCCCGCCCCATCTGCTGGGGGGCCGGCCCTCAGCCCTCAGTTTCCTTTTCCCCACATGCTGGAGGACCTGGGGGCCAACATGGATCTTCTCCTTGACATCAGCTGAGCCTGGAAGACGCATCCTCTCAGACCATGGACAGAGGCAGCCACCGGGTGAGTGTGCCAAAACCTCCCAGGCTCTCCCAGACTCGGGGAGCAGGGACAGGCTGGAGACAGGCGGGGCACTGCCAAGGCCTGCCCTGGGTTTAGGGAAAATAGAATGTCTCTTCTAACTGGAAACTGCCTGGGGTCTGGAGATCACAACCTCCTTTTATCTTCATCTCTTCAAGGAGCCCTAGGAAGAGAAACCCATAAAATATGGGGTCTGGTTACCAGGCACCCCAGGGCTGTGTGGCTGAGGCCTGTGCCCTGGCAAAGACATCACTGCTGTTACATGGTCAGCTTTGCTGCTTGAGACTCTGATTTAATCTAAGTTAATTTTTGCTGGTTTGAGAACCAAGAATATTTAACTCGTCTTCAAGGATTACCTCCTACATAGATTCCTAAACCTTCCCAGAAATATGTGACTTTCCTATATACATTTAAGATTTTCATGGGATTTTTGTCTACCCTTGATCACTTGCTAGGGGACTCAATGGAAAGTGCTTACTTCTGCCTAACCATAGTGTACTCTGCTACATCTCAGGCCTCTTGCTTCAGTTGTTCTTAGGGGTGATGGAGAGCAATGGGCTGTCCTGTGTAGAAAAGTGAGTGATGTGCACATCAGGTGTCCCCAAGCCTTGTTCAATGTGCCCCTTTCTCCTTAGGTCCTGTTTTCTATTCCTTTCCACATTTTTGTTCTTTATCGATATGGTGAGATCTGAGACGCTGGGAAGGGGTTAACAAGCTCTGGGTTTGAGGAAGCTCAACTCATCCTATGTTCTAGGTTATGGTTAACTTGTGGTTCATTGTGAACCTGGGTATGTTTCTGCTGAGGGTTCTGTCTTCTCTCCTCCTAGTCCAGACCCCTCTAGACTCTTCCTTTACTTGGCTGCCCTCCTTGCTCTCCCCTCATGAATTCAAGATAAGCAGAAAGGGGGTACACAGAGAAGAAAAGTGTTTTGTAGGAAGCATGGGACATCACAGTCACAGTCATGGGCTGTCCTCCTTTGGAACTTGCTGGTCCCCAGATCCAAAGAGGGGGCTGAGCTATCTAAAAGGTGGTGAGTTTGAGTTGGGGATAGGCAGAGAGCTTGCCCCTCCCCCTGAGTTGGGTTACAGAGGTGATGTCCATCTGGGGAACTTGCCTCCCCAGAGTTAGGAGCAAGGAGCCTATAGTTGCCCCCTAATCTTGTCTACATTCAATTTCTTAGGATTACATAAGAATGGGATGGAGGAGCTATGGTGGTGCACATTTTTAATCCCAGGAATAGAGAGACAGAAATAGGTGAATCTTTATGAGTTCAGGCCAATCCGATCTACATAGTGAGTTCCAGGACATCCAGGGTTACATAGTGAGACCCTGTCTCAAAAAATAAGGAAAGAAACGAAGGAAGGAAGGAAGGAAGGAAGGAAGGAAGGAAGGAAGGAAGGAAGGAGAAAGAAAGAATTTGGAGCTTTCTTTGCGAGAGCTAAGTAGCAGAGAGATGCATTGTGGGTTTTGTTCTTCCCACATAAGGAGAGGGAGTGGTGACCAGAGGGTCTCTGCGGTTGGCACTCCTGCAGCATGTGCCGGAACTTCAGGAGGCTCTTAGGAAGGGATGGAGAAGGAACTCAGCTGTCTGCATTCAAATGGAAAGCAGGGTTAGATGAGTTGGGTGGTACATACCTGGTATCCCAGCCATGCTGGAGGTTGAGGCAGGAGGATAGAGAGTTAGTCCTAGGCCAGCCTGAGCTACATAGCAAGTCTGCAGTTGGAAAATAACCCAAGAAAGAACCACTTGTTATAGCAGGCAGAAGTGACAGAACAGAATCACTTCAGCTTCCTGTCCCTTAGTGTCTTCATCTGTAAAATGGAGCAGCTGTCTCAAGGAGTTTCGGAATCTGTTGTATAATAAGGCTCCTTTAGAATGGCATCTAGTATAGCACAGCTGCAGATAGTTATGCCGTCAATATCTCTGTCTGGAGTCTAGGGCTGACTCCTCTAGACTGGAATGGACATCCTCTCTCTATACCTCAGTCTCCTCACCTGACAAAGAAGAAGGCTGGACAAACAGTCCAAAAGATCTCTTTCTGTTTCCATTGCAATAGCTGGAATGGGAATACAGACAGGGATAGCAAGGGTGTGCTACTGAGTACGAGTGCTCTTCTTGCCAAATGTGAAGATCTTGTGCTTTTGCCAAGCGGGCCATGTTTTTCAATGCTTGGGGAACTGCAGTGCCTTCCAAGGAGGACTGGAGTTAACCCATTGGCCAAGCAGTGGTCCTTCAGAGAACAGACTTTCCTATGCTGGGAGTTCCTGCAAGCAGCTGACTGTATGTGAGGATGTGTGAAGCCCAGCCTGAGCCAAGATGCATACCTTTCCCAGGAGGTTGCCCACGTTCCCAAGACGGAAGGCCAGGACACTCAAGACCCCTTGTAATCCCACAGCCCCAAACTGAAGGCACCTCTGACAGCTTGTCTTTGTCCTGTAGGGCCACACCCCTCACCTGGAACATCTGTTTCGTGCTGTCATTGGTGCCGATCAGCTTGCACCTGGCACACCCCACCGGGCCTCATTCTGTCTTGTCCCCTGTGACTTAGAGTGACGTGGGAGTGCATGTCAGGCTCCAGGTTCAACACTGGGTGGGAAGGCTGGCTGATGTAGCAATGGCCACTTAGCTTAAGTGTCTTGTTTTGGCAACACAGCTTCCTCCTGTCTAGCAACAATGCAGGTGGACTGTACCCTGCCAGGTGGACAGGTAGGAAAACACAACAGGCCAGCAGCTTGTCCTCTAAGCAAAGCCCTTGGTGGTCCTAGGTGGAGGCTCCTTTGCTGGAGACAGCCCAAAGTGCCCACTAGGTCCTAGCTCTGCATGTCACCAACCTTGCATTTGCAGACAGCAGAGGCTTAGCAGGGAAACAGAGCCAGGAAATACCATTTGCTTGGCGACAGTGAGCATTCAGTGTTTTATTTTGTTTTTAATCTTTATGTATGTATATGATGTGTGAATATTATATGCATGCTCTGTCTCTCTGTCTCTCTCTCTCTGTCTCTCTCTCTCGTGTGTGTGTGTGTGTGTGTGTGTGTGTGTGTGTGTGTGTGTGTGTGTGGCGCTTGTGTGGCATCACAGGCTATCCTTGAGTGTTGTCGCTTTCTTGAGATGAAGTCTCTTGTCTTCACTGTTGCATACATGCTTCAGGGTACTTTGCCCTCTCACCCTCATGCACTGGGAGTACGGATGTACACTACCACTTTCAGCTTTATATGGGTTCTGGGGATTCGAACTCAGATAGCCATGCCTTCATGGCAAGTACTTTTACCCCCTGATCTCCCTGGGTTCACACACCATGCTCTTTAATGTCATTTGTGAATGAACAAATGAATGAATGAACTTATGAATGAATGAATGAATAGTTGAATGAATGAGCCATCAAGTGACCAGTGAGGTATGGTCTTCTGGCTCCTCCTTCTGGTCTCTTTTGAGTGCCAAGAGGCATTCTAAACAGAAAGAACTGGGATGCTCACCCAAGGCAGTCATTTTCCAGTTCTTGCAGCAGCTGCCTCTTCTATTCAAACGAAATATTAGGTAGAGGCCACTGCATGAAAAAATGTGAATTTCTGTCTGAGGTGGGGAAAGGGCTCAAGCCCCATCAGGAGGGCCCATGACAGAGTTCCATGGTACCTCCATGAGACCTTAATGTGTCATGGAAACCTCTGGAAAACTGTTGTCAATCCCTTCATTTTAAGTATTAAGGAGCTCAGAGCCAGACAGGGATGTGACTGTCCCCTGGCTTACATAGCTGCCTAGGAGTAGAAGCAAGCTCCTGTGCTCCCGAGCCACGCCCTAAGGGGCACAGTGGAGCCTGGCTTTGTGCCAGACCAGTCTGGTCCACGTGGTGGTGGGGTCCAAGCTCCACCAACTCCAGCTTCTCCCTGTCCTCACTCCCTCTCCCCAGTCTCCAGTGGACAGGAACTTCTAGGTCCCATCAAAGGGAGCTCCCGGACTAGACAAGGTGAAGCTCACCTATTATTCCAGTACTTAAAGGCAGACGATAGTGAGTTTCAGGTCTGCTTGGGTTATACAGCAAAATTCTTGAAAGACACAGACAGACAAAACAGCAGGAGCTTCCAATAGGGAGTAGGACCCCAGAGTGCTGACCATGGTCTAACCCATGCACCTCCTCCTTTGACAGCCCTTAAAACTTAGGGTAACTGGGAAGAGGGGTGCACAGAGCTCAAGTCTGGTTTTGCTCACTGGAGGTGGTAGGAAGAAGGTAATAGAGAGTGTAGCATTAGGTAGTAGCAGCTCAAGGATGGGGCCAGATGACTAGACCTGTGACACTGCCACTGCCTCACGATGGCATCTTAGGTACATCAGAGCCTCTCTGCACCTTGGTCATCTCATCAAACCTCGATTAGTGGCCTTTCCATCCCAGTGCACCCTCAAAGCGATGGCTTTATAAGGGCGTGGCCCTGGGAGGGAGCGTCCATGGGCCTGTCTTAGGCAAGGCTGATGGGCTGCCACTGCAGTGGCCGCTGCTCATTTTCTGGGTCCAGCAGAAAAGCTTGTGCAGAACCCTACTGGAGGGCAGTGTGGGACTGAGGAGCCAGGGAGCCCAGCCTGCAGCAATAGCTAACTGACTGAGCTGCAGGGGAGGTCAATGCAAGACACACGTAGGGGCTGTTAACTAATTCCCATGCTTCACCAACCAAGAGAAATTTAAAAAATGCCCCATTCACCTGGGGGTGCAGAATCCATCCCCAGGAGCTGAGGTAGAATGAGCACAGGACTAGAAATGTGGGGTTTGGGGGTCTTTAGTTCCTGTTCTTCTTATGGGACTTTAGAAAAGGAATATGTGTGTGTGTGTGTGTGTGTGTGTGTGTGTGTTCACCTGCATACGCTTGTGCTCATGTGTGGTGCATGCATGTGAGTGCACAGGTTTACGCGCATGTGGAGGTCAGAGCAGGATGTCTAGTGTCTTCCTTTATTGCTGTCCTCCTTATTGCCTTGAGACAAGGTCACCCTTTGAACCAAAAGTGCACTGATCTGTTAGTCTGTGGCTGGTGAGTCTCTGTGTCCCCAACACTAGGGTGACAGCCACACACAACCGTGCCCAACGTTCTGCCTTCTTCATGGTTTACCCTTCCTGGCCCCTTGGTCTCCCATGATGCACTAGAACGTCTCGTCAACCCAAGCCCCCAGAGCTTCTCAGGCACAGCAAGGAGCATCAGAGGTGACTGGTATGCAGTGTGTTTGATGGTTAATTGTTATGGCAAGGGATTGCCTTAGAGACCACGGGGGTGGGGTCACAAGGAATGAATGGTAGTGGTAGGAAATGGCCAAAGATGTCCGGATGCTAATTCAGTCATAGATGCCCGCCCATGCATCTTGAACAGCTTCTGGTCTGTAGTTGGCTGTGCAAAGGGCAGGACCCTGCAAGGACTTGGTCACAAATTCTTTTCTGGGCGGGGGTTGTGCACATTGCGAAAGGCTGGGATTGGGAGGCCTGATTTCTGGTCCCCTAGTTCTACCTTAGTATCTAGGAACCCTGGAGAAGTCTCCTCCATTCCTGGGGCATCATCTGTTGTCAGAGCAAAGTCAAGCCTCTATATGGGAGGATGACAACGCTGCCATTGCTTTTCAAGGATGGAGGGGGAGGAAATGAGTTAGTGCTGTAGCAGGTTAGACATCAGGAAACACTTCCAGAAGGGTGAAGTGGCAGGCCATGAAATGCATAAAGAGGGAGGCTGTGGGCACTGGCATCCTTGTGGACTCTGAAGATGAGGGTGCTTCCTAATGACCTGTGAAGTCTGGGTCAAAGTTCAGTGGCTTCTGTCCTCTTGCCTTGGGGCTGTCCTTCTATTCTGACACTCTCCTAGGACTCACAGTTCTCCAAGTGGCATTTCTCACTCAGATTTTGGGGTTCTAGGCCTCTCCTCCTGCACAGGTCTGAGAGGCCTACCCTACCCAGCTTCTACTCCCTGCTCTGATAACACAGTGCTGACTGAGTCTGTCAAGGCTGGGGCTGAATGCCTTCTGACTCAGGACTACCTACCAGCTTCCAGCATTACCTACTCCGGCTTCTACTGACCTCCCGCCTTGCTGGCCCATGGCCAGTTTCTTCTCTGTTCTCACTCTCCCTCACTCCAACTTCACAAGTATCCCCTCTTGTAATTTCCCTGTGCACTTTGCCCCGACCTTCTTAACCTTCTCTCCTCCAGCCCAGTCCCTTCACTCCCTCCCTTTGTGATTCGGTGCCAGGATCAGAGGGTCAAGATCAGTTGGAGACAGCTAGAGTCCTTGACTAGGGACTCAGAATACTGAGAACTCCTTTACTTGGGGAGCTAGGATCATTCCCGAATCCCAGCTCCCCTGGATAGAGCGCAGGTGGTTAATCTTTGGCCACGGCTAGGCAGGTAAAGTGCAAACCTAGGATGTACAACACCCTGGGTTTGATTTTCACCTCTGCTGAAACTGGATGCAAGGGCACACGCCTGTAGGTAGATCAGAAATTCAAGGTCATCTCTGGCTACACCAGGAGTTCAAGGCAAGCCGAGTTATGTGAGACCCCATCTCAACAAACAGACAAGCAATTGTGCAAGCTAACAAAACCAGGGAGGGAGGGCAGGGATGGCCATTCTTACCAGTTTGCTTCCCAGGCCCCTTGTGAGACCCAGACGGGACAGTATGTGTGACGCTGCAGATGGTGAGCCCTGGAGAGACGAGGGAGACTGCTGTGTCATTTGTGACTTCATTGGTTGCAAGTTGGCCTGGTTAGACCCTGAGCCCTCTTCCTTACTTGATCTAGAAATTTGAAAACTTATCAGCTTTTTATTATTAAATTTTTACATGTGTGGTGTGTGTGGTGCATTCCCATGGAGGGCAGAAGACAACTTCCAGCTATCGTTTCTCTCCTATGTGCTACAGGGACTGAACTCTGGTTCTCAGGCTTGGCAGCAAGCTCTATTACCCTACACTAATCTGTATCTCACCAGACCTCAGTTACAATATCTGTAAAGTGGAATCAACAATGCCAACTACAAAGAGCAAGTAGGAGGCTGACAGGGGACCAAGTAAGGTGCCTTGTGGGCTGTTACCTTCAGTGTAGCTAGACTCTCGTGCACAGTCTGGGCTTATTCACATAGATTCTCAGTTGTATGGGGAAGAAGATGAGATTAAGCCTGTTTACACAAGTCACACAAGCTCTGGCTGGCTCTTGCTGACCTGCTCAAGGAAACCTAGCAGGGAATGGGTGCAGCCCTATTCAAACAGGTGGATTTCCAGCCAAGCATTCTCAAACACCAAGCAGACCTATTGTCACAGTCAGTGTCACCCCAGGCCTCACTATGTACAAGTGCTCTGCGTGTCTCATCTGTGACTACTGTGATACGAAGCAGGGTGATTACCCACACCTTGCAGATAAGGAAGCTGGCATGGAAAGGCTTGCTCATGTCACGAGGCTGAATTTGGGCATGATCGTTGTAACCTACTGGATGCAGCAGTTCTGGATCACAAGGCTCCAATCAGACCTGGCAGGTGGGGGAAATGAGGGTGGAGAGGCATCCATAGTTCACAACAAAAATCACCACAGGGTCATGACCGTACCAAGAAACCCCTGGGCTCTGCCTCAGCCCCCGGCAGAGCTCCTGCCTTACAAGGCCTCAGACCCTCAGTGTCAGAACAGCTGCTGCAGCAGAAGCAGGTGTCTGAATGCCCCTAAACACACTCAGGTGCTTTCCTGTGCAGCCAGCGGGGATAAGGGCACTTATCTGTAACCACCCCTGTCCACTGATGGTCTCTCTGGTTCCTGCCTTGAGTGTGGTCAAACTCTTCCTTGAACCAAACAACAGGTCCCAATAAAGTGAAGATGTGACCAAACCAATTACCTCTGATTCCTGGAAGAGAAGAGTTAACACGTGCATTTGCTCTGTTCTCCTCAGTAGTGACAATGGTCCTGTCATGTGTCAGATGTTCTCAAGAGGAGAACTTTGAACTGCTCTGTTCAGGACTAGAGTTGAATCTATTCAAGCGCGGGGCTTTCTCTGTCCCGAGACACTTGCCCCAGAGTTCACCTCCCATTCAGTAGGGCCCACAGCTGGGATGGGCTGGCTGAGGGTAGACACAGGAATGCCCTTCATTCTATTTGCAGAATGCTTCCCCAGCAAGGACACCTCCTCCCCAGGCTTCCCCAGCAAGGACACCTCCTCCCCAGGCTTCGCCAGCAAGGACACCTCCTCCTCAGGCTTCTCCAGCAAGGACACCTCCTCCTCAGGCTTCTCCAGCAAGGACACCTCCTCCTCAGGCTTCTCCAGCAAGGACACCTCCTCCCCAGGCTTCCCCAGCAAGGACACCTCCTCCCCAGGCTTCCCCAGCAAGGACATCTCCTGTAAGGACATCTCCATCCTGGGCATCTCCAGCAAGGACATCTCCTGTAAGGACATCTCCATCCTGGGCATCTCCAGCAAGGACATCTCCAGCCCGGGCATCTCCAGTCGGGGCATTTCCAGCCCGGGCATCTCCTCCTCAGGCTTCTCCGGCAAGGACATCTCCAGCCGTAGTATCACCTTCCAGGTCGTCATCGGGCAGGTCGTCATCTGCCAGGTCAGCCTCCACGACATCCTCCCCAACAAGAGTGTACCTTGTTAGAGCAACACCAGTGGGGGCTGTCCCCATCCGGGCATCTCCTGCCAGGTCAGCAGCAGCCACCAGGGAGAGCCCAGGTAAGGGGGCCATCTCAGGGAGGGCAGAGAAGCAGGGCAGTGTCTTTGGGCAGAGGGATGCTCTCAGAAAGCACCCTTCTCCTCATGACCCTGGGAAAATGACATGGGGGACAGCCAGAGTGGACCATGGGGTACCTGGAGAGGTGGGGGTAGAAAGAGACCATGGCATGACCGCCTAAAACAGTGGAAATTAGGCAAAGGAGCAGGTGCGGGGGATGACCAGAACCAGGAGCTAGGAAACCGTGTAACAGTGGAGACTGCTCTGCCTACTCTAGAGCTCTGGCTTTAAGAGCAAGGGCTCTCAGCTAGAGGAGGGACTGTTTCCTTGGGCTGATCTGCGTGTCTGCTGGGGAAGCCAGCGTCATGATTAGTATGTCTGTCCATATGTAGAGGAAGAATGAGAGGGACTCTGACACTCCAAGCTTCCAAACTTGTGTAGGGGAGGAGGGTTCTGCAGTCCAGTTGCCAGGAAGTCTAAGAGACCAGTGGGCCTCCAGGCTTGGCTCTTCCCCCAGGAAACTGTTTTCACTCACCCCAGACCTCAGCCTGTCCCCATTGCCTTACTCCCATATACCCAGGCCTGGTTGCTATTTGACTGTGAAGAAATGCCCAAGGTTTAGGGACCATCCTAGTCTGTCCCTGCCCAGGGCAGGAGAGGCACATTGGTGAAATGGATTCTGGAATGAGACATTGCATTTGAATCTCTGACCTGAGAGTCACTAGCTTGGAGACTTTGAATGACTTTTCATTTCCATGAGCCCCAGTTTCCCCGTCTACATAATGGACCTAATAAGACTTGGCTCATGGGATGCTGTGAGGATGAGATAGCAGGACACATGCATGCTGTCTGGCCAAGAGAAGGGGCTTCATAAGAGGAGTGGAGACGGGTGGGTGGGGTGGAGAGGTATTGCAAGGTGCAAGGGTCCTAGCCAGATCTTCTGGGGCCGGTTTTGCTTCCTTTTCTGTCTTCCACCATGCTGAACTCCTCCCCAGTAGTTTTCCTTCCCTACTACCCTGTTCTTAGGTCTCAGCGTGTCCAAGTTCTCCTGGCAGGAGACCCAGAGGCAGCTGCCACTCATCGGGTGTGTCATCCTTCTCATCAGCCTGGTGATCTCACTCATCCTTCTCTGTGAGTTGAACAGAGGGATCAGGGTGGGTTTGGGTAATTTCAGAATGGAATGGTGTCAGTCATGAGTCATGCTACAGGGACAGAGGGACTCACATCCGCATACAGACCTTGGATCACGGGGAATTAGGCTCCTTTGAGGCAACTGGGGTAAGAGTGTGGGGTGTCATTGGATTCTGGGTTTGGATCCATCATTGCAGGGGAAGTCTGATGATTTACTGGAGCAATTGCACTAACTATATTGGGCTCTGTTTCAGTATCATTAAATGGGATCCAGTTCATCATTAATCATTCAATTCAGCATATACTCCATAAGGTCTTATTCCACTTTACCTGGACCAGGAGAACTATATGAGAGAAGTGTACAATTTTTGGCATAAAATCTCACTATGAAAACATACAGCTATCTATGAAAACCAACATGCCATAAAACAATGAAAAAGTCTCTGAAGGTTAATGGGACAAGGTGTGCTGTCTGGGGATTCAGGACCTTCATGTTGTCCTTTGCAAAAAGATACCCAGAACATGCCCTTGGCTCTTTGATCAGCAATCCTTTAGAAGCCAGCCCAAAAGGGGAGCCTGGGAAGGAGCAAAGATGAGCACATATCATGTTATTCTGTACCAGGAAGGTCACCCACTTCTGAGAAACAGCTGAAATAAGTCAGGCTGAGATGCACATTTGAAAGTCTGGAACACGTGTGTTTAGTTGAATGAGACCAGAAAGCTTTTATTTGTTTGTTTGGTTTGTTTTTGTTTTTGATTTTTGAGACAGGGTTTCTCTGTAGCTTTCGGAGGCTGGCCTGGAACTCGCTCTGTAGACCAGTCTGGCCTTGAATTCACAGAGACCCACCTGCCTCTGCCTCCCGAGTGCTGGGATTAAAGGTAGAAAGCTTTAAACATAGGCTGAGAAGGGTTCTATGGAAAAGGCAGTGTGCGATGGTAAATGGAGAGATGGATGGGCGCATGGGAACTTCCGGTGGCACAGCTGTTAGAGGAGGAGTGTACTGTGCTGGTACAGCATAGCTTTGGTACCACGCATTCTACTCCAGCATCCTGCCTCTGCTTCTCATGCACTGTATGATGTCAGCAAGTTAGTTAACATTTTGGATCCCAGTTTCCCCACCTGCTAACTGGGTGGTGTGGGGCATTATCACAACACATGTGATGGCCTGCAGGTTTCCTTGAGCTGAGACCTCCTGTCTACTCCTCCGTTTGCCAGCAGAGTACTTGGCTTCTGAGAACAATGGGGATGGCCCATGGAAGGACACGACACACTCAAAGGCAGGCTCGCCAAGTAGCCTTAGAGCTCTAGCCTGGTTCTGAATTTCCCGAAGTCCTCACTGCTCCTTCACTGGGGCCAGAGAGGTAGTATGTGCTGTAGGTCAAGTCCAGTCTCCTGGTTCCTCTCCCATCATCGCTCCATCCAAAACACTTCACAGTGGTCCTAGGATGTGCAGCTTCCCAGGCACTGAGAGAGGGACGCCCAGACTCCCTGGAGCTTCAGCGTCCAGGGTGTGGGGGGAGGGGTAGGAGTGCAGCCTTGGGGGGTTAGGAGGATGTGCGTCCTGACTGGGAAGGGGCTGTCTCAGCAGGTGGCCTTTTCCTGAGTGGCAGACACCATGGTGGATCCCGTGGTGTCAGAGCTAAGGAGAACAGAGCCTGGGAGGTTGGATGAGGCATTAGGTCTGTGGGGGTTGCACAGGGAATTGTCTCCGGGCAGTAGAGTGACCGATCAGGTTTAGAGGCAAAGGAAGACTTGGAGCTGGTTCCCACATAAGGTATGAGACGTTTCCTTGCGCATTTGGAAATCAGCCAAACTCTGCTTGTTGAGTGAGAAGACTCTGAGAGCATAAAGAGACGCAAGAAAGCAAGGACCAAGTACAAGAGACACCCATGCTTAGGGGTGAGGGAGGAGGATGCAGCTGCTGAGGCTGGCATCATGGAATCCACTAAGAAGAAAGGCCAGGAAGTGGTGTTCTCTCCCTCCCTCCTCCCTTCCCCCCTCTTCCCCTCTCTTCTGTATGTGTGTGTATCTATGTAACACAGAGAGGAGGGGATGCCAGAGGGGTTCTGAGAGGAAACTCTAGGATACCGGAGGAGAAGATTTCTCTGGACACTATCCTTTCTAGCATATAGGGTGAGGAATCTTCCCAAGTAGGATCCATGTCCATCTCTGGCTGTTTCTCTTGGTCTCTTTCTTTTCTTCTTTGGGTAGTGGCTGTTCAGTTCTGTCTTGGGCTGCTCTGGTTGCAGGAGATTTCTAGAACATTCTTTAGCAGCCTTTCTCTCCATACAGATGGGGGACGAGAGCCCCAGAGTCCAAGAGGGATTGCAGGTCGGTGTCTGAGGATCCCCAGGGCCTTGGGCAGCTGAGTGTCCTGTCCCTCGGACTGTGGTCATAACCAACTGTATGTTTGTTGTTTCTTTTGTCTTGTTTCTCTAGTCTACTTCTGGCGAGGCCATACAGGGATCAAGTACAAAGAGCCGATGGAGAGTTGCCCCAGCCACGCAGTTCGCTGTGATGGAGTGGTGGACTGCAAAATGAAAAGTGATGAGCTGGGCTGTGGTAAGAAGGCTGAGCGTGTGTGTGTGTGTGTGTGTGTGTGTGTGTGTGTGCATGTGTGTGTGTATGTGTGTCTGGCAGGGGACTTGCATGTACACTCTGGGGAGCATGTGTGTGTGTGGTGGGGGGACCTGCATGTACACTCTGGGGAGCATGTGTGTGTGTGGGGGGACCTGCATGTACACTCTGGGGACTACACACTATGAAAAGTAATAGTTCCGGCAAAGGCAATGAAAATTAGAAGATCTTGGTTTGAGTCACAGCGGATACAGATTTGAAACTTGGTTTTGAGCATCAGGTGACAGGGATAAATTACATGCTTCTTAGAGCTTCTGACTGCTAACTTGTAAAACCATGGACTGGAGACTGGTGACAGTTACATAAAATCTGAACTCTGTGAGACAGAGAAAAACAAGAAGTCTGACTGGGGACAAGCTGGGGGTGCTCTGGAACCCAATTCCTTTGTCCAGATTTGTGACCCCATTGGTTTCTTGTGTCCTAACCAAGCACAAAGGCATGTTGAGCTCTAGTCCTCTATGGTTATGCTTGCGTGGTCTTACCCTTGCTGAGGGATGTGGGTGCCCCACCCTCTCACTCTACAGTTATTAATACACACGCCCTTGCCCATGACTGCACCTGTCTGTGACCAAGGCTGTCCTATGAGCACACACTCAGATCATCAATACTATGCCCCTTGTCATCTCTTCCTTTGAGCATGCCATTGCCCTCTAAGAGTAAGATGCTTGTCCCTCTCCCAGCAATGGCCTCCTGAGTCCTGATAGATAAACAGCTGCCCAGCCACAGCCCCTTGACCTTAGCTCTGTGCTTATGAAGGCCTTGGACCTCCAGACGTCACTGCTTGGGCAGCCCAGCCTCCCCGCATCCCTTCCAGGAGCCTCCCACAATTTATTCCCAAAATCTTGAAGCCTCCTGAGCACTGAGACCCTACTCTGCCCTTTTCTGCTCTGCAGTCAGGTTCGACTGGGACAGGTCTCTGCTGAAGGTCTACTCTGGCTCCTCTGGCGAGTGGCTCCCTGTCTGCAGCAGCAGCTGGAATGACAGCGACTCCAAGAGGACCTGCCAGCAGCTGGGCTTTGACAGGTGAACATGCAATGAGAGTCTGGCATGAGCTATGTAGAGAGAACCTGTCTCAAAAAGCCAAAAGAAGAGGAAGGAAGAGAAAAAGGGAGGGAGGGAGGGAGGGAGGGAGGGAGGGAGGGAGGGAGGGAGGGAGGGAGGGAGGGAGGGAGGGAGGGAGGGAGGAAGGAAGGAAGGAGGAAAGGGCCCTGCAGGACCCTTGCTGGTCCTATCAAGCCAGGACACCCGGAGCCATTAACAAGGCAATGGCCTGGCTCCCACTGTGTATGATTGCACTGTTCTTCTCTAGGGCTCTTTTTGTGAAAACACCTTCAGGGTCATCACCACATCGAGTGGTTATGGGATGGCTCTGTGAGGAGGGTAGGTATTTGGGAAGATCTTATCTTCTTACACTGGGCACTAGGAGTCCAGATGTGCAAAACCTTTAGTGGATTTTGAACCATAGCAATTGTGGCTTGGCTATGAAGCTTGTTGCATGAGACACAGGATAGGACTGGCATGGTTTGCCCAAGTCCTGTGACGCTTCTGCTTTAAAAGTTTACACCAAGAAGCCAGTGTTGGTCGGTGGAGCAGAAGTGAGTGAACCTTCCTGCTTGAAGGCCCCTCTCACCTGAAGGCCAGATAGGCACCTCCATTCACCATCTTGGTGTGTGTGTGCGTGTGTGTGTGTGTGTGTGTTTGCTCAAATATGTATATACATATGGAGGCCAGAGGGTTGGCCACAGGTGTTTCTCAGGAGTCAACCAGCTTATTGAAGCTTGTGAGGTAAGCTAGTCTGGCTGGGCATCAGCCCCAGGGATTTGTCTGTATCTACTTCACAGTGCTGGGATTATGAGTACATCCTATCTCTGAGTTCTTAAACTGAGTGGTTTAGGGATGAATGGATGAGTGTGAAGTTGTGAGTTCCCCTTAGAAGAAATACCTAGAAAGAAAGCATTGGAGCTAGGACTCAGAGCTAATTCCCTGCCACTACCTAAGTCTCAGAGTCCTGGTGGGTAAAGGAGGTACTGATTGATCCAGACTTAAGACCCAGGTGTCTTTGTCTGTGTGTGATCTCATGCAAGTGTAAAACTCTCTGCAAGTGTTACAGATCCAGAGAAAAAGATATTCCTGATTTTTAGAAGTCAGACTGTACCTGCAAGAGTTATAGCTCTGGAGGGTAAGGTGTCCTGATTTGTCAGGAAGCCAAGCTATACCTGAAGTTGGGTTCTGGTGGGGGATGGTCTCCCCACGGGATGTGGGAATCCTCTCCTCTCAGCTACAGCTGAGCTCTGCTCCGCTCCCCTAAGGGACTTTTCCAGCAGAGGTATCCATTGCTTCTCTGCTCTGCTCCACTAGGGAGTTCTTCTCAGCTCTGGCAAATTATTTCTCCTTCTTCTTCACTCTGCTAAAGGGCAAACCCTTGCAGAAATGTAGCAATCTGCTGGAGCTCCAGGGAAAAGTTGTTACTTCTGCTCGGCTCCCCTAAGGAAGGGGTGTCTTAGCAGAGGTGTCTGTTGCTTCTTTCTCCACTCTGCAAAGAGAGTTTCCCAGCAGAGACCCCACTGTTCTCTGGTGAAAGAAGGTCTTCACCCAAACTCCTTCTAGAGACTTATTTGGGAAAGAGGAACCTCTGCCAGGGTGGAGAAGGGCAACTGCAAACTGAACAAGCACAGGACTTATGTAGGGATTCTTAGGGGTGGAGTTTTTCCAGGGAGAAGATTTTCAGGGAGACAATTGGTCAGATTTCAATCCCCTTGAGTTTGTACAAGCTCAGATTGGCTAGATTTCATGCTCAGTGACTGATTGGTTTCTTCTCAGGGATTGGTTGGTTTTCCTGCACAGGGATTGGTTGGTTTTGTGCTCAATTGGTCAAGGGCAGATTTGACTCTGGTTTCAGGACCTAAGTTTGTTTCTTTCACTGGCTCTGGTTTCAGGGTCAGGGTGGGTTTCTTTGGCTGACCCTTTTACCCTACATCTCAGCATTCTCTTTGGATTCCACCTATGCAAAAAGCATCTGCAGAGCTTCTAGTAGACTATGTGACACACAGACATAAAAGAATAAGACAAGACTCTCTAGTGTGATCTGGGAAAGGCTTACTCCAGCAGTCCCACAACAAGGGTATGTGTGGGGCTCTGTTGGGACACAATGGGGAGGATCCTTAACTGTGCTTGTGTCGAGGAACGGCATACTCACAGGCCCAGTTCATGAAAGGATATAGAATGTTCTAGAAATCTACGTAAGTTCCAGGCAGAGAGCAGAACACACTGGAATCGCCGGGGTGCTTGTGAAAACGGACCTCACAATCCGAATCTCTAGAACTAGGACTTAGAAGTTTTTAAAGCAAATTCCCAAGGTAAATCAGAGGCATGCTGTTCTAAGAGGCAGCGTATATACCAGCTCACTCTCTGGGAGACTTGAGAATGCAGATTGTTGCTCAGTAGGTCTGAGGTGGTGCTGATGCCACTGGACTTTGTGTCACAGTTTGGGTAGTGTGTCAGTCAGAGTTTCTATTGCTGTGATAAAGCACTATGGCCAAAAGCAGCTTGGGGAGGAAAGGGTTTCTTCAAGCTTAATTCTCAGATTGTACCGCATCACTGAAGGAAACCAGGGAGGGAACCCAGAGGCAGGAACTCAAGGCAGAGGCCATGGAGGAACTTGGCTTCTCAGCTTGCCTTTTTGTACAGCTTAGTACACCTGCCCAGGAATGGCACCATTCATAGTGAGTTGGGTCTTCCCAGATCATTAAGGAAGAAAATGCCCACAGGCCAATCCTATGGAGGCATTTTCTCAATTAAAGTTTCTTCTTCTCAGATGACCCTAGCTTGTGTCAAGGTGATGTAAAAACTGGCCAGTCCTGATACAAAGGGCTAAATAGGTGTTCTCAAAGTCAAGGATGCATCAGAACTGTCTGGAACTGTTAAGACATAGGTTGCTAGGTGCCCCTCAGAGCTGTTTCAGTAAGTCTGAGGTGGAGCCAAGAACACGCCTTTCTAACCAGGAACTGGAGATGTGGGAAGACCTACACCATACTGGAGAGCTGTTAGGCTGGTGGGGGGGCAGGAGCAGAGCATGTGACGGAACCAGGCTTTGAATGTTGTGCAGCAGCGGTCACCACACAGGCCATTCTGGCCTGCCTGTCTGCCAGGGTGCAGGGCTCTGACGCTGCTGGAGGACTCAGGGTCTGCTGACTGTGTGGTGTTCATCTTTCTTCGCTCCTCTTTACAGTGCTTACCGAACAACTGAGGTGGCCCATAGGGACATCACCAGCAGCTTTTTACTCTCCGAATACAACTCCACCATCCAGGAAAGCCTCTACAGGTGCAGTGGAACAAGCAGGCTGCTGCAAACAGGACTGAGGGGCTGCTGGGGGGGTGCTTAGAGCCAGGGAGCCCCTCCCTCATCCTTTCCGGGGACCCAGATTCCCAGGCTCCATCGCAAAATGCCAGGAGTGCTATGGACTCCCAGGCCTTAAAAGCTCTTACCTCAGATCTGGTGCAGAGATCATGCCAAGGTCAGAGGCTCCTGCCTCCCAATCTCCAAAGGCTTGCCTGATCTAAGAGATGAGTAAGAAACCCTGGGGCCACAGAGGCTCCACCTGGTGGACTTAGAATGAAAAGATGCATCACTGGGAACAGGAGCAGGGGACTGACAGGCACAAGTGGCCAGGGCCCAGGAGGTCCCTCTGTGAAGCTTCAGCCTCTCCTACAGCGGTTCGTCTTTGTCCCAGCTCCCCTCCCCCTCCCCTAAAATAGAAGTCTTCCCACTAGCATTGCTTGCCTAATGTGAGGGTGAGAGAAGCCAGCATCCAGTTGAGAGGTGGTCCCTCGGTGCCCACTTGGGGCTAGATCCTCTGCATGCTACATTGAGGAACATGGGGCTATAGAAGAGGCTTGCAGAAAGAGATGGGACCATGAAGGCTTGCTTGGGTTTAAAGAACAGGGAACTAACTCATGTTGTGTGGTTCACCAGATGAAATCTGGGAGGGGAAGGGAAGATGGTGGAGACAGTTTGCCTCCATCCACATTCCTGAGAAATCAGTATGAGGAGGTTCACCCTCTGGGAGAGGGAAAGGTCTGAGTCTCCATCTCTTTTGTTAAAGGTAGCTTCCTTGGAAATGGGACTGAGCAGGTACCAGTCTGGAAGAGGAGGCAGCTACTGACCCCCTTTCTCCCCTTTTGTGCAGGTCCGAATGTCCTTCCCAGCGGTATGTCTCCCTCCAGTGTTCCCGTAAGCTGTTTTTCTTCTTGGAGTGTGGCCTATGAGGACGAGAGTGAGGGGGCTTTCCAGGGCAGAGGGACAGAACATTCCTAGGGAAGGGACTGCTCCTGGGATCCAAGACAGTGAGTCCACTTCAGGACCGGAGAGCCTAAGAATCAGGGTGCCTGGATAATATTTCCCTCCTGGTCCTTCTGACCTTGGGACGCTCAGTCTTGCAATCTGTCTTTTAGAAGGAGTCATCTGAGTCCCCTGAACTCCTGGTAGGGGCTGAGGACTGAGGGTGAGGACAGCAGGTGTGGGCTAGCTGAGAGTTTTATGTCAATACTCACTTGAGTGCTTGTCCATGGAGGGTACTTACTGAACCTGTGTCTGTACAGATACGGCTGTAGTTACTGACTTTGAGAGCCCTACAGTGCAACTGCCATTACTACCCAATGTCCCTTGCCTATGGTCAGAACCCAGGCAGGTGGGGAGCTGATATATGAACTTAGAGCTGACCCCTAAGCCCTAGCTGTGAGTGACTTCACAAGACCTATGCTCTTGGTGAACGCCAGAATGCAGGCTGGCCGGCTGCTCTGGCCCCAGTACCCACTGTTCAGACAGTGTGCTTTTCTCTCTCTTCTGCAAACAGAAAAGCGCCATATTTGAACACACCAGCAGGCTGCCCCTCCTTGTCCTGAGCTTGACTCATTCCAGAGTTGCTCCCTGTGCAAACCTAGCTATGCATCACAGGAAATGCATTTCTCCTTCATCTGAAATGAGGGGTTGCTATACTAATTCTCATCACCTCAGGGTTGTGGTAGCATCTTTTGCTTTTCTGAGCCCTTGGTGGCAGCCCTAGGACTCGCCTTCATAACCAAGCCAGATTCAGTGCCAAAACATTGGGTATGAAGTAAGCATTTGGCAGATTAATGAAAAAGCAAGTGAGTGGGAACAAGGCAGGTGCTCCCTGGGTCAGAATTCCTACTAGATAACCCCAGAAGGCTAAGACCACCTTGTACTATTTCTGCTTGGACAGGGAATAGGTGTGCCACCCTAGGATTGCCCAAGCTTGCCCTGGGCCCAAGAAGAGTAGGAGAGGCTCTAAAAGAAGCATATGTCATGTTCTGTCCTCTCCATTACCCCCAGACTGTGGTCTGAGAGCTTTGACCGGGCGGATCGTAGGAGGGGCTCTGACCTCAGAGAGCAAGTGGCCTTGGCAAGTCAGCCTACACTTTGGCACCACTCACATCTGCGGGGGCACACTCATCGATGCCCAGTGGGTGCTCACCGCTGCCCACTGCTTCTTTGTGTAAGTGCCGGGGTGGGGGTTGATTGCTGCTGGGGACTTGGAGCCACTAGAAAGGGCTTATGGACGCTTTAGTGCAAGCCTAACTCCTCGGGGTCAGCTACTGATTGAAAGATCAAGTGTGACTAAGGGTTTGGCTTTGAGCTTGAGCCAGGGATGAAAAGCAAGGTCCCTACGAAAAACGAGGCAGACTGGGAAAAGACTTCCATCCTTTTCCTGGGGAGCAGATGAAGTGAAGCTCCAGGCTTGTTGTTGCTACTTCCTGTAACAACAGCTGCAGAACTACCGGCAGTAGAGTGACCATGGGGAACGCTGTCCCAGGGCCTGAGGGACAAGGACAGCAGCAAGGTGGCACAGTTGACTTCTGAGAGTTCCTAGAAACCTTTGGGGACCCGTAGCACAGACCTTGTGAAACTGGCTGCCTGAGTAAAGACTCTTCATTACCTTTCCTTGTCTAAATCTCCATGGCTGACGGCATCTGTCCCACTTCCTGGGTTCCATCCTTAGTGACATGCAGATGGGGATAGTGGGAATGAATGACACTCTAAGATCTGGGCAACCAGTTCAGAACAATTTTGCGGAGAGCGAGAGATAGTTTTGGGCTTCATAAGACAGAGGACTCCTTCAGAGGTCATTTTATCCATCCTCCTGTCTCTAGGTATGTAACTGCAGTACTCATACTCTGTGGCTCTTGCAGGACCCGGGAGAAGGTTCTGGAGGGTTGGAAGGTGTATGCAGGTACCAGCAACCTGCACCAGCTGCCAGAGGCTGCCTCTATCTCCCAGATCATCATCAATGGCAACTACACCGATGAACAGGATGACTATGACATTGCCCTCATGAGGCTTTCCAAGCCTTTGTCCCTGTCAGGTAAGTTAAGGTGTCCCTGCTTCTCAGCACCCTGGGCCTGGAAGCCCCTGTTTACCCAGCTTAAGGCTCCCGGGTGTCATCATAGCAAAAGCCACAGGAACTTAGGGATGATTGCATGAAATACATTTATTTTACAAGTAGGGAAACTGGGCATCTGGAGGACATGACTCAGTGGGTAAAGTGCTGACTCTACAAGAATGAGGACTTGAGTTCTGACTCCCAGAGCCAGAGTAAAAAGTTGGGCTTGGTGGCATATGCCCGTAATGTCAGCACTGGAGAGTAGAGACAAGACAACCCCAGGGGCTTGATGGCTAGCCCAAGCTTCTAGCTCAATGAGATACCTTGTCTCAAAAACACAAGGTATAGAAGTGACTGAGGAAAGACATCTTGACACGATTCTTTGACCCCTATACACTTGCATGGGCAATAGCACCTACATGTGTCTTCGTGTGCATGTGTATGTGCACGCACACACATATACACACACATACACACGAGCAACACACAAGGAAAGGAAGAAAGAAAACATTGATTGGGAAAACTTAGGCCCAAGACCTAGAAACGTGTGTGCCCCAAATGACACATTATAAATTGACCCAAGGGTTAGGGCTTGTGTACTGGTCTTAATAAATACACGTAGATAGAGTTGACTTGCTGTTAGTAACTATTCTCTTAGCAGCTGCCAGACAGTGTGCACCAGTTACTCATCTCATTGCTGTGACGGGATACCTAGTAAAAGCAATTTAAGGTCAGAAGGATTTATTTGGTTCATGGCTTGAAGGGATTCAGTCCAGCACAGAGGAGAAGCACAGTAGAAGGCAGGTAATTTCCATGGCAGCAGGAGTGTGTGGCTACTTGTTCATATCCAAGTGAGGTCAGGAAGTGGGGATAGCCCATGAACCTTTAGGTCCATCCCTGCTACCTACTTCTTCCGGTGAAGACCACCTTCTAAAGATCCCACAACCTCCCAAAGCGGAGCCACCAGCCGGGGACCGAGTGTTCGATCACACAGGCAGGCTTGCTTGCATGGGGCATTTTACATCTGAGCCATAACGCACTGGGAGATACTTGGTCTGTATGATTGCGTGTACTCTTCTCACCCAGTCCAGTAGACAGAGCCTATGAGCTCCCTCTGACATATGAGAAAGTGGAGATGTTAACTGAGGGTGTGAGTGGCAGGTAGTAGCTCCTGGGTGGTATCCAGATCCATCCGACTCCAAAGCAAGGTCCTTGCCACCTGGCTCTGGCCTAGCTCATGGTGCACACTTCAGTGAAGGGCATGAGCACAGGTTTGAGGGACTCACTACTCCAACTTGGGAGCAAAGGACCAAATGAGGCTACATGACAGAAAGGCCACAGAAGCTCTCCCATCACTGGGGACACTGAATGTCAGAGAAGGCCTCATTCATCCACTCACTCATTTGCTCACTTCTTACTGTGCGTCTGCTACACAGACAATGGCAAATAGAACAAAACAGGTGCACCAAGACCACCAGAAAGGGCCAACAGTGTCATGTTAGGGGATCAGAGGAGATGAGAGGGCAGTCAGATGTGGTAGGCTGGGGACAGTGCAGAGAGAGAGACCATAGCTAAGGTGAGTTCTAGAAGAACAGACAGGACTGGAGGAGGACTCAGTAGCTAAGAGCACATACTGCTTTATCAGAGGACCAAGTCCCGCACTGTGACTCTGACGCCCTCTTCTGGCCTCCATGTGCACCTGCACTCTTGTGTACACAGCCATACACAGACACACATATACATGTAACTAAAAATGAAAATCTTTAAAGAGATTGGTGGAGACAGGCTAGGAAAGCTTAGAAGAAACCCTGAAGGATGAGGCCACAAGGAAAGTCTCTTGGAAGTGAAGCAGGCACTTCTCCTTTGGAGAGTCAGGATTCCCAGAATCCTTGGCGAGCTCTGATCAGTCCAGACATTCTGGAGTCTGTGAACTGATGTTTCCTCACATATCCATATGAAAGCAGTGTCTGCCACCCATCAGAACAGCTGGTTCATCAGAATGGGGTGAGGAGAAAGGGCCCTGGGCGGAGCTCTGATATGCAATCTGTTTATGGCCGCACCCATCCAGGCTTATCTACGGAGCCTAGAGCTAAGCTGGGCACTCAAGCAGCCCCCTTCCCTGAAACTCACACAAACAAACCATGAACCTGAACAGAGCTTCTTGACCTTGTACAACTCGAACCATTTGGCAAAACCACCTATGTTTTACCCGGTTTCTCTCCTGGCATGGGTGCATCCTGGGGTATGCAGTGGACCTTAAGTCTAAGAACCACAGTTCAGATTTATGTAGTCCTAGGATCAGACCATATGCATGGATTTTTGGTTTACAAATAAGGGCAGGATTTCCTTGAATTACAGTGTTTTCTGTGAAAACTCAATAATTTAACCTCCTCCCCAAACAAGAGCAATCTACAGCTATAGAACGTGTACAACCGTGTGACTTGTTAATAATTGGTAGTACCCTTTCATTTTCATTTACACATGTGTGTTTACCCTCAAGCAGACAAAATGTGTAAATACCAGTGTTTAAGCCCCGATTCTTGAAAGAATTTAGCATGTGCTCTAGTCTCATTTACGTTGCTGTGATAAAGGATCCTAACCAAAAGCAACATGGGCTGTGGGGTAGGGGTTAGGGTTTATTTGGCTTGCAATTCCAGGTAACCATCCACCCTTCCAGTGAAGTCAAGGCAGGAGCTAGTCACATCTCACGCACAGTCAAGAGACAGAGGATAGATGCATCCTTGCTGCTTAGCATTCAGCTTTTTCCTCTCAAACAGTCCAGGACTCTCAATCTATGCCATGAAGCTTATCACAACAGGCTGGGTCATCTTCCATAATTAACAATCAGGACAACCCGCACAGAACACGCCCACAGGCCAACCTGATCTCAATAATTCCTTAATTGAGATTCTCTTCCCAAGGGATGCCAGGTTATGGCAAGCTGATATCTAAAGCTAACCATCACAACCTGAGTTTGCCTCTCCCTCATTAGTCCCTCCCTCCCTCCACAAATGTTTATAGATCCCGGAACCTGGGTCAGGCCTAGACGCAGGTGCAGAATGCAGTAGTGAACATAACAAATGACTGAGAATACTGCAAAATTCTACCAGCAAATACTTTCCTCCTACACTTCAGAGTTGACTGGTCAGTCTCACAGACCCTCCTAAGGGGGTCCCACGCTGAGGGAGCTGGTGAGGTGATGCGCCCTAACACTTGGTAGGCAGCGCCCAGATGGGAGCCAGTTAGCAGGGGTTTGTGGTCTCGGTCTTCAGCCCTGTGGTCTCGGTCTTTAGGTATGTGCTCTTCCTGCTTGGCCCATACTCACCCCGTGTCAGATGACTGTTTAGACAGAGAGCCCCAAGGTGTATTACAACATGGGCATAACATCAGAAGCTTATCTTTCACTGTCCGTGCTTTGAGGGAGAGGCCTGGGAGAGTCTTGGCCAGGAGAGCTGCCCTTGATAGACTTGTCTATACCCCGTGCCAGTTTGGCTCCAGCCTCCAGCTTCCAAAGCTTTACTCCCGTGTACACAAGGACACTGGAACCAGAATGGCTTCGTGGATGCTGGCAGTACACTGAGGGTTGCCAGGTTCAGATGAAGTAACTGACTTTTATATCTAGTCAGTCCAAAACCTTAGAGGATTCAGAGCCACTGAGAGAACAAGGATCAGACTCCTACAATGCATTTGCTCTGCCTCTCCCCAACCTCTCCCCAAACCCCCAACCGTGCTCCTACACTGACCCTAAATGACGTGTTGCAGCTCACGTCCACCCTGCCTGCCTCCCTATGCATGGCCAGACCTTCGGCCTCAATGAGACCTGCTGGATCACCGGCTTTGGCAAAACCAAGGAGACAGATGGTGAGAGGAAAGATGCAAGGCTGTGTGTTACGTTTGCACATTGTGTGTGTGTGTGTGTGTGTGTGTATTTGTGCATGTGAGTTTGTGCATGCATAGGTGTTTGTTTATGTATGTTTTACGCTGTGTGTGTATGTGTGTTTTGTAGGCCATATGTATGCAGATGAAGGCCTATCTAGGTGAGAGTTTGGGTATATAGACTCATGGTTAATATATGAATATGGACACCTGTGATTATATCGGCACAGTCCCAGTGAGAACACCTTCTAGGCAAGACCCTACAACTGAACAAGGTGGGTTTAGTGCTCACGATAGTAAGGGGAAACACACTTTTCAGTAAGAGGCTATTAGAAGGACTGGAGAGATGGCTCAGTGGTTACTCTCCTGAGGACCTGGGTTTCATTCTCATCACCCACATAATGGCTCACAACAGTCTATAACTCCAGTACTAAGGGATCCAAGGCCTTTTCTGGCCTCCAAGGGCAGTAGATACATAGATAAAAAGTTCAGACAACATCAAATGAAATAAATGGATATTTTAAAAAGAAGCTATTAAAAAGGATGTTGTAGGATGTGGGTAGCTCGAGGAGAGGTCAAGGAAGTGGTACTTTACTCTATGCTGGATGCTGCTGAGAAGCAGTGGCTGGAAAACATAATAATCGCATCCAGAAGGAAGGTAGAGACTAAGGCTGACGGTGGAGGAGAAGTGGGCCCTGAACTGGCTGGGAGAGGGGATGCCTCACACTATGGTTCACAGGAAGACTGTCTACTTGCAGTACCAGGTGTTGAACCAGAGCCTCTTGCTCAGAGAGATGCTCTGCTGCTGAGTGACATTGCTAGGCCTTTGTGCTCAAAAGGTTAACCCACAAATGGCATATGAGATGGTGGTTAAATGCAGGTGATGTGCCAACTCAGTGTGTCAGTTTCTCTGCTCATGGCTGCCACAAAACTCCTGACACAGTAGCTTAAGGAAGGAAGGGTTTATTAGCTCACAGTTCTGGACGCAGTCCCTCCTGGCAGGGATGTTATGGTGTTATGACAGCTGGTCATACTGTGTCTGTAGACAGGAAGCAGAGGGAGCTAAGTGTTATTGTTCAGATCCCTCTCTCATTTTTATCTGGTCTAGGACCTAGCCCATGAAATGGTGCCACCCAGATTTAGGGTGGGTCTTCCCCCCTCAGTTAACCAATCAAGAAAACCCCTTCCAGACCTTTCCTGGGCTCCTTTCCTTGTGATTCTAGGCCCTGTCAATTTGGCAGACCAAACAAACTGTCATAGTCAGGCAGCCCATAGGCTTGTGAGTGTGCATGGCAACAAGTCTCTGTTTTATGACCAGTGAGTTGTGTCTGGGGTGAGAATGTGTATTCCACCACGGAAGGCCCCCTTGGGGTGGGTCTGGACACAGACATGGGGCCCTCTACTCCGAGACTCTGGGAGTACAGCTGGTGGCTGTGAGACTTCTCACAGTCTCATTGGCTTCTTATCCACTCTCCCCATGTTCACCTCACTGAAGAGAAGACATCCCCCTTCCTCCGAGAGGTTCAGGTCAACCTCATCGACTTCAAGAAGTGCAATGACTACTCGGTCTATGACAATTACCTTACCCCGAGGATGATGTGTGCTGGGGACCTTCGAGGAGGGAGGGACTCCTGCCAGGTGAGGTCCTTGCGATTGGAGCTCAGGTCTCCTGACCCTGGAGATGGGAGACGGCTGGAGTGGTAGGACAGCCTTGGGAATTGGAGACCCACGCTTTCCTGGTTTAGACCCCCTTTTGCTGGCTCACTCTCCGGCTCTTCCTTGCAGGGTGACAGCGGAGGACCTCTTGTCTGTGAGCAGAACAACCGCTGGTACCTGGCGGGTGTCACAAGCTGGGGCACAGGCTGTGGCCAGAGGAACAAGCCTGGTGTGTACACCAAAGTGACAGAAGTGCTGTCTTGGATTTATAGCAAGATGGAGGTGAGAGCTCAGTACAGGCTTAGAGCCTGCAGGAGGGTGGAAGGCGTCCAGACTGCGTCACCTGAGCCCTGTGTGTTCGGGATGTCCAAGACAGGGTTAGATGTCAGGCATTGGACCAGCCCAAGATGTGTTTTCTCTCCTTCCCTTGTCTTGGAACAGTGCCAAGAGGGTTATTAAAGGGTGAATTAAATTAAATTAAATTAAATTAAAGGGTCCATCAGCACCAATACAGTTCACCTCTCCCAGCAGTAGACAAAGATATCCAAATTGGCCACTAGAGTGCGCTAAGGGGCTGCCTTGCATGGCAGGAAGTTGGCCATCAGGAAACATGGATCTACTCAGGCTCCACTGGCTCTGTTCAGCAGGACCCTGCCTTCTGGCCAGTCTCCTGCCTATAGTGTAAAGCTGGTGCTAAGGCCAACCCTCCCCCATTCTTTGGGCAAGGGAAGATAATACAGAACACAGAGGGAGACTGCACCAGAACCCCCTGCCACGAGCCTCAGAGTGCAACCCATTTCTCCCAGAGAATGTGCCAGCGGGCATTCAGCTCTACGGAATGGCGGGCCCTGGACTTTCTGGTCCTTGGGCTTCTGTGTTTCATGCTCACCCTTGCTTTGTTTTCCTGGTCTCTTCCTCAGAGTGAGGTACGCTTCCGGAAATCTTAGCCAGGCCCTCCTCACATCGCTGACCGCTGTGAAGATCCTGACTAAAGGGACTGGCCATTTGCTGCGCCTGGGCCACCTCTGCTGTCTGCTGTCTTTGTGAGAGCTCATATGTGGTGCGCGTGTGCTTGAATCATGCGTGCCTCTGTGTGTGTGTGTGTGTGTGTGTGTGTGTGTGTGTGTGTTACTAAAGTGCTTTAAAAAACAGGAAAACTGGCTCTTCCCAGAATCCCAGGCTGGAAATCTGGAGTTAAGAGTTTGGACACCAGGTGTGTTCCTAAGCGTCTGTAAGTGGAGGTGGAGCCGAAAATGAGCTCAGGAAGGGCCTGGAAGACAGCAGCAGTTGTCACGCCTCTGACTCTGACTCGGAGACCAGCCCAGACTGAACAGGCACCCAGCAGGCAGTGACACCATTGCCATTTTGTGAGAGTCTGGCTTCTGGGTGTCTGGACCATCTGTCCTCCTGTAAAGCCACTCCCATCGGTTGAGTTGCGGGCGCTCTCGGCCTCTTGTGGTTGCTGTGGATTCCAGAGCGGGGCTCTGCAGTGACTGTCCATCTCTGGGTGATGACTGTGACTCAGCCTTGCTGTACTTGTGGTCACAAGCTGTTGGGATGAATTTTATTTTATTTTTATATTTAAGATATAGAAATCGATATAATTTTAAGGACTCTCCAAAAATCCTACGGACCTTGGGAGGTTTTGCATAAATCACTTCATGAGCCCTAGGGGACTCGTGGGAGTTGTACTGCTGTAACATACTGTGACATAGGATGATGTCATGACGTTCATGAAATTAGGTGGAGTGCCTCAATGAAATCCTCAGGATGGCATGGAGATTAGAGCCCTTTCAGACACTCAGGGAAGAAAACCCTCATTTGGGCTGACAGGAAAAATGCAATGCGTGCTGCTCTAGCCTCCAAGGACTACAGCCCATGGAATTGAAGATGTGTGTGCTGCCTGCTTATCCTGCCAGGACCCCTGGGAAAGTCTCGGTGCCCAGCATCATCTATACCCAAGGGCTGAGCTGGGACTGGGGAGTTAGTTTCTGGCTTCCCCCATCTTCCTCCATCAGTCTTGTACTGACTCAAGAGGCCATGAGGAGACAGCAAGAACTGTCCCAGAACCTCTCAACAGCTCTTCCGGGAGGCCTCGGTTGTCCCGGCCTCCCCCAAGCCTTTTCTCTTGGTCACCTGCTTCTCCTCAGCTCCACGCCCTTCACCTTCCTTGGCCCTACCGGCCTCTTGTGACACTGAGCCTCAGAGGCAAGGTCAAGGAGATCGGGGCAGCTCAGACAAGCTGGAGGTAGCCAGAGTGCTTGGGCAGCATCAGAGCGGGGTGGAACATTCGGAAGCATCTTCAAGGCTGGGAAGGGGGCCAGCCTTCAACATCTGCAGAAGTTCCCAGCACCGGGCTTCAATAATAAAAGTGTGTGACATGGAGAAGTCGTTGGATGTTTCATTAATGATGGAGGCAGAAAATCATGGTGGCCTGCACTCTGCCCCAGTGCCCAGGCATCTCAGGCATGCTTCTTGCTGAGTTTCTCACCTGTGGGTTCTGTTCATCCAATCCAGCATCTGTTCGTTGATTCCTTCCCCCAGTGATATCAGAGCTCAGTGATACCAGGTACCCATCCTAAGCCCAGGCACTCCACGGGTGATGGAAGTGATGAGTTAGCGTGGATACCGGGCTTGGAACATGGACATATGAGCCAGCCATGTATGTCTACAGAGGTCGGGAAAGGCCTGGCTGGGGAGAGGCGGTTTGTCCTGGGTTTTAAAGAATAAGTGAGCATTCCTAGAGTAGATGTGGCAGGGAGAGGATACTCTGGGGTCAGTCTTTCCCCCTCTTCCTCTTCCTCTTCCTCTGCCTTTATTAGCTCAGCAAGAAGTGTGTTCATAAGCCCCAGTGATCACCCACTTCTTTATGAGGGCTGATTGGATGACCTTTAACCTCTTCTGTAAGATCTACCCCTCCATGCTGCACCCTGATTTTTTTTTAGCATTTGCTACACTAACCTTTTCAGTTATGACACCACCAATGATTTTCCAGCATACTAACACACATGTGCGTGTCTTTGGCCACCCTCGGCATTTTCCTGGTCTACATGTGCCTGGCCCAAACTAGCCCAGCATCTCTGGGGAGGTTGACAAGTAAGGGGCAAATACAGGAATAGTGTTCCAGGTTCCCAAACATCTCCACATAAGCAATCAAACCCTTTGGCTTTGCTGTCTCTGTTAGCTGCTGAGTTTCCACGGAATTTCTCTGGGATGCAAATGAGACCCTTGTGAACTGTTGGGAACAGGGCAGGTGCCAGCTCTGTGGAGAGGAGCCACTTCCAGCTTGGCTGGTGATCTGGCTGCCTCTGGGGTTTGATTAGATTCCCAGGGGCCATTGTTTCTCATAATTGCTCGCCTTTGTTCTGATGCGATTGAGAGAACATGAGGAGATGCACGTGTAGAGTGCTCCTGGCAACGGCAATGAGGAGGTCGGGGACAATAACTCCGCATCTGCCTGTGTCAGATGATCACCTGTGGTCCATTATTCCTGTAAGCCTACAATTCCACAGAGCACACATGACAGCCATCCCTGTTCCGTAAACAAGGAGACAAAGGCTTGGCTGAGCGACGTGCACTCTCAAACCACCTGGCACTCGGGGCCAGAGCTGGACTTAGAGTCCCGAGTGCAGACTGTGGTTGTTGAAGCTGCTTTCCTGCACTCTGTACGCAGCAGTTCCCAAGGCCAGGGGAAGCCCCTCCTACTGGTGACCTCAGTAGAGTCTGCCATCTGGCTCTGTGTGTCATTCCAGAATGGGAGGAGTGGACAACTCCCCAGAGACAGCTGGGCACAACCCTGGGAGTATCACATGATCAGAAGCTTAGACTTGGCAATTTCCAGAACCTTGGAGGAGGCCCCTCCCTCACCTGCAAATGGATGGTTTCCCGGAAACCCTCTCAAGCCATGACAAAGCTGTCATTCAGTACACCTCATGTCTCTCTGCTCTGGGTCAGTGACTTTAAAAGGCACATGCCATTCATTCCCTACCTGCTCTGCACTGGTCCTCACTTCCTGTCTTTTGGAAAAGCTGCAGGTCAGCTCAGGAAGTAAACAGCATCGTGATCTTACAGCACATCTCCCCAGAGAATGGGGAGGGTCACATACCAGATGACCAGTTCTGGACCACCCAGAAAGAAAACTGTTGAAGAAGACCTCCAAGAAAGGCGAGGGCCTGACCTGATCTTTGATCTTCCCCAGCTAGGTTCCCTCGAACAGGACATGGCTTCTCTACCCAAGCCTGAGTCTCAGAGGAGGTGGCCATACCCGTGCCTTGAGGGCCTCCTCTTAGTTACACTGTTGTAATAGAGTGGGGTTGGACCCAGGGTACCTGGAGGTGCACATTCCAGCTCTGTCACTCATTTAGGCAATCGCTCTGTTTCCTCACATGTGTGGTGTATGTGTCTCTCCTGCATGCTGTAGGATCCAATGGATGGTAGACATAAACAAGTGACGTAAACTGAGAGGCTTCTGCACCCTGATAGGCCTCTCCTCGGACGCAATAATCCAAACCAGACCAAATCAAACCAAATTAGAAGAAGCCCGTGTTTAAGAGAGGAGATGGGAAAGGGAGACTGGAAAAACCATGAGTCTGGTTTCTGGGGGGCAGTTTAAACACCGTGTGGGAGTGGTCTTGACTCTCTCTGGGGGAGGAGCCATCCTTTGGTGGGCTTTCTGAGATGCAGCAGGGTGTGGAGGGAGATGGGGGAGGGCGCTTGGGTGGAATTTCCACCATAACATCCCAGACTCTTTGGGTCTATGGATGTCAGGGCCTGGGGTGAAGCTTCCACCTGAACAGACACAAAGAGACTATCCAGTTCCTTTGCCATTGTATCTCTTCCACAAACAAGAGGGGGCAGGCCAATGAATCTTCAAGTTCTAGTAAAGCTACCATTCTCTATGTAAACTTTTCTCTGGCTTTTGAGCAGGGCACTGATGTCAGGAGGGAACACTATTACCTAAGGCAGCTGGCTATTTCTCCAAACCACAAAACCCCAAGTGAGTTCATCTGCTGCCTTTGTCAGCAACGGGCTAGTTGCCTGTCCATGGAAGAATTCTCTTCTAGAACTTAATGTTGTGCCCAGTGGCCTCTGACTCTTCAGCTAATGGAGTTGGCAAGTTCAGAGCTCTGAAGGTCACGCGTCCTCAACCTTCATCCTCTTCCCACAGCCATCTGCCCACTGCCCCATCAGTGATGATGAACGCCTGTGATGTCATATCTGGTGGAATCTTGTAAACTCTCATCTTATTGAGGCCTCCCAGGATTTTAACTGTTGAGCACTCCCCTCTTGACAAAATCAACTCAACTAAAGCATCACCAACCCTCTCCCTTCCTCCTCTGGGCCTCTGGCTGACTTCTCTCGGTGGTCCATAAGCTCTGTGAGGGTGTTGCCCGGAGATAAACCCAGGCTCTCTTCTCTTCTGTGGCACTTGATTTTGCTGGTTATTTTTCTTCTCCTGGTGGAAAAACACCCCACAGAGGCAGCACAAGAGAGGATGACTTTATTCTGGTTCAGGGTTTGAGGGAGTTTCAGTCACTCCTGGTGGGGAAGGCATAGTAGACCAAGGTCGCAGAGTGGCTTGATACATCTTGGCAGTAGACTGCAAGCAGAACCCTGTCAGAGTCTGAACCCTGTGTTCGTCACTCCCCAAACCCTGCTTCTGGCAACGTCCACCTTCATTTCCTGCAGTTAGACTCCACCTCTGTGTCAGTCACTGTTCTGTTGCTGTGAAGAGACACCATGACCACAGCCACTCTTATAAAGGAAAGCATTTCACTGGGGCTGGCCTATAGTTCAGGGTTAGTCCGTTGTCGTCATGGCAGTAAGTATGACGGCATGCGGGCAGACATGGTGCTGGAGAAGCAGCTGAGAGTTCTGCATCTGGATCCACAGGCAGTAGGAGGAGGAAGCCACTGGGCCTGGTTTGGGTTTTTGAAACTTCAAAGCCCACCCCCAGTGACGCACTTCCTCCAACAAGGCCACACCTCCTAATCCTGTCAAATAGACCCACTCCCTAAACACTGAAATATATGAACCTATGGAGATCATTTTTGTTCAAACCACCACAACCTCCTAAAGGTCACACACACACACACACACACACACACACACACACACACTGCCCAAATGGCATCACTACTAGCCAGAAGCTTGGGACCAACCAAATGTTCAGACATGTGAGCTTGTGAGGGGCATTTCATATGAAACCATAGCCGTGAGCTATACTAACACTCAGTGTTCCAGGGTCCATGTTATCCTTTTCCTAGATTTCCAAATAACTTCAACAGAGCCCCCAGGAATTTGCCTCATATCACTAAAGTGCAATAAATGTCACAAATGCAAAAAAATCTTATACAGGTTTATCCAACTGAGCTTCTGCAGCCTGACTGAACACTGCCCATGTTCATGTTCTCTCAGAGAGTACAGGGCAGACGGCTTTCCAGGTCAGGTGAATTCACAGGCATCACCCAGAAGAATGCCCAGGTGGAGGAAACCTGCAAACTTACTGATGCCTGTAGTGTGTGAAATCCCACAGTCTGGTCAGACTCAGGCTGCTCTCCTCCACTTCCCCAGCAGACACCCAGCTAGCTTCTCTTAAGAGCTTCAGCTAGCTTCTCTTAAGAGCTTTGCACAACCACACAAAAACAAAATTCAAGATGAGCAGAGATTTCGATAATCATGCACAGGTTTTTATGCAAATACAAGTTTTCACTGCTGTGAAACAAATGATTAGAGGTGGCATTCTTAAATACTCGTTTTTGTTTTGTATGTATGGGCTTGTGTCTGTGTGTACATGTGAGCATCTCGATGCATGTGCCCCAGGAGTCCCGAAGAGGGTGTTGGATGCCCTGGAGCTGGAGTTATGGGTGATTATGAACTGCCTGACTTGGGAGCTGGGAACCAAACTTCAATACTCTGCGAGAACGGAATATGTTCTCAACTGCTGAGCCATCTCCAGCCCTTCTTGGGGCATCAATTGTGTCTTTAACAAAGAAACTTCCTGCTCCCAGGATGTCTGTACCATAGTTCATTGCTACCTGTAGTGTCAAAGTTTAAGTTGTTCTGTGTCCTCTCCAGCACTTGGTGATGATGTCAATATTTTTAAGTCATTCTAATACGTGTCTAACAGTATCCCTGATGTTTTGATTTATGTTTTCCTGAAGACTAATGGTATTGACAATCATTTTGTGTGTCTATTTGCTTTCTGTAGATCATCTTTGCTTAAGTACTGATTAAATATATAATAAATTTTAAATATATTTAAATACATAATATATATTACCATGTCTTTGGTTGTTTCTTATTGAGTTTTGTGATGGTTAATCTTAATTGTTCACTTAACCAGCTTTTGAAGTAGCATGGAAACACCTTTGGAGTGTTTCCGT